AAGAAAAAGAATTGAATGGTTTCACAACAATAAAAAAAGAAAAAATTACTCAATTTTATCCCGGGAAATGAACAATAATAAATTTTATGATTCCGAAAACTTGACCAATCAGAAAATTACTTGATATATTTATTTATATGTAATAAAAATATCAAATTGGTGAGATTGATTGATTGTTGATACGAGTACGTGTAAATAAAGAATAAAAGTAATAGAGAAAGAAAATTATACAAGAGAGTAATAATAATAATAATAATAATAATAATAATAATAAAACCAATATTAAACAGAGCGATACGTATCGATGACAGAAAATCCGTCACCGCATGATCGTGAAAATGAGTGCCAACTATAATCTGGCACTGACAACAGCTCGGCAAAGACTGACTTCAGGTAACCAAGTTCCTCTCTACTACTGTCACTCTCTCTTTCTCATTCCCCTTTCCCCCCCTTACACCATGCACTCCACCATTTCTTACTCTCTCTCTCGCTCTCTTTCTTTCTTTCTCTTTTTCTATACTTTAGCATCGAGAGTAACATCGAAGTACGAGACCCTTCGCGCGTGCCCGTCTCTTTTGTATTTCTATCTCTTTCTATTTTTCATATATTGTATATTGTATATCTTTGTCTATTGTATGGCGTATCTAAGTCTATATCTTTCTATCTTTCATTTAGTTTGCTAGACATGTGTACCAAACACAACCGGTATTTCACTTCGATATAACATTTTCAACTGCACCGTCTTTTTTTATCTCTTTCTATCTTTTTTTTTTATATATATTTCTTATATATTGTTTATTTTTGTCTACTAGAGTGTATCTATCTATTTCTATCTTTTATTTATGTGCTCGACATGTGTATTAGATACAACGAGTATTTCACTTGCATACAACATTTTCAACTGCACGGTCTGTCTGTCTGTCTTTGACTACTTTCATGTATTTACATTGTTTTTTAAATGTTTTTCTTATTTTTTTATTATCTTTGGTGACATTAAAAGTAATTGAAATTTTCACCTGCACGGTCTGATTGTCTTCTATCTCTTTCTCATATATTGTTTATCTTTGTTTATTATATAGCATATCTAAATGTATATATTTCTATCTTTCATTTATTTGCTCGACATGTGTATTAGACACAACCAGTACTTCACTTGCATACAACATTTTTAACTGTACAGTCTGTCTGTCTGTTTTTAACTACTTAAATGTATTTACATATTAATCCCCTTGTTTTAAAGTAACAAACAGTTAATTGTAATCTCAATCAAATCTAATTGAATTGTTTTTTAAATGTTTTTCTTATTTTTTTATTACATTTGGAGGAATTTAAAAAAATGGACAATTTCACCTGCACGGTCTGAGTGTCTTCTATCTCTTTCTATTTTTTTTATAAATTTCTTACATATTGTTTATCTATTATAATACGTATCTAAGTCTATATCTTTCTATCTTTCATTTATTTGCTAGACAT